GTCTCTGTGTGTGATAGGGCAGACACACCTGCCAGCCTGTGCGTGTCTCTGTGTGTGATAGGGCAGACACACCTGCCAGCCTGTGCGTGTCTCTGTGTGTGATAGGACAGACACACTCGCCAGCCTCGTCATCTGAAGCCGCGGTTTATTATTGCGCATGTGCAGTATAATAGTGATGTGATATCGTGCAGCCCTAGTGCTGATCAAAATGTCTTTGTGAATCTATTAATTCCAGCCATTACGGCCAAAACACAATGGCTTGGCTCCTCTGAATAGGTTTATTCCTCTAAAGTTGGTGTTGTGAAATGCAGAAGGGATGCCACATTTTGTCTTTCGTTTCCTTTTTGAATCAAATGAGCCGATGAGGACGAGGAGGTCTGTGATGTAAGAATGTGCTTTTTCACTGGAGTCGTGTTGGCTGAGTGCCGGGTCTTAGATTCACATCCAACAATCAGAGGAAACAGCGTTTCTCTTTCGTCCACCTGCTTTCCCGTCTTTTATCCTAGGGATGGCTGTTTTTAAGATGCTTTCAGGTTTCCCCGTGCGAGAGGAGGAGGTTTTCCGTGGAACTGATGTGGGCGGCGAGAAATATAACTCTCCTGTTTCCCGGTCATTGTTATGTGTTCGAACACCCCCACTCCTGCCCGCCATTCCAAACACATGTAACCCCTTCATGGACCCAATTTTACTGCTTAGATTACAAGACCTCGCAAATACAAAAAAGCACACACTGGCCTGATGTGCCACGCAAGAAAACTAAAAAGAAATTAGTATCTGCAGAAGTCTGTGAATGTTTGATCCCTTTATTTTTGTTGTCGTCCCCCCCCCTTGCAGTACTTCCCAGAATGTTGGGGTATAACTACTTATATTGTGATGCTTCATGCCTGTCCACTAAGATGACTCTGTTTCCCGTTCTGAGTGCAGAGGCCTGGTTTGGCGAGGGGAAGCTCTGATTTCTCCCAGCTACGGGGAGACATTATGAACCCTTCCAAGTCTGAGCAGGCCCACTTTACGTTGATAAGCAGCCCCTGGCTTTGCACTGTGGTGAGACTGGGGTTTGTAGTGAGGCTACTATCTATAGCCCTCATCAGACCTCAGGTTTGACCCCCCCTCCCCCCCCCAGACGGCCGCTGCTGAAGGAGACCGAGTCACACAATGGAGCCTTTATCTCTCTGATCATCCTAAACTGGCTCCATTGCCCACCGTCTGGCTCAACTCCAGATCAGCCCCAGGGTATCTAATCTTTAGGGCTGGAGAAATATTTATAAACCAGATAAAAATGAGAGTGGGCGTTACTATGGCGATAGTGACAGTGTCTGCGGTCTGAGGCGTATACAGCTCCTGAAATAGCACTACCGGTTAGCGAAGCGGCGTTGCATAACCGAGCGAGCGGGCATTGGCATTCCCGTACGGCTGCTTGTCTCACTCCATGGGCCAGCAGCCCGGTCGTGTCATCACGCGATGTTGGATGTTCCAGTAACAGCAAATGTGTAGTAACTTTAACGCCTCCCTGGTGGCCACTGGGCTGGTTCCAGTTATTTTCTCGGTGCAGAATCTTTCTCTGTGTGCAATGTTTTTATTTGTTTTTTTGCTCCTTTTTTTAACACCTACTGGGAAACAAAATAGAATGATTTTATTGACCTTTAATTTCTGGTCCTTCTTTGTCCTGTTGTCTGTTAAGCGCTGAAGCTGATTTTGTTTTCTAGACTCCTCTCAAACCCTAAGCCTAACCCTAACCCTAAGCCTAACCCTCTCCCCTTCCAGGGCCAGATGATGGGGGCCGTGTGTGCCCTGTACGCCTATGTCCAGAATGGCCTTGCTTCCGTGCCCCAGCCTCCCTCTCACCTGACGGCCGGCAAGCTCTATAAGATCTGTCCTCACCAGGTAACAGCAGCGGTGCACCCTGCCAGTTGGGGGCGCTCCAAACACCATCTGATGTTCAGCATTTATATTGAGTTTTGTCACCCACCCAGATGTCTTAAGCGTCAGTTGCACAAAAGTGCAATTTATATAATATATCACATATAAATATAACTCATTGTCGTATTTGGAGAAGCAGTTGAGGTCTGTAGTTTTCATAGCAGAGATCTTGGAGCTGATTGGGCGAGGCTGTGTTCCCCACACTGCATTAATGGGCTTTAGTCTGCCGCCAGCCTGGTCCCAGCTCGGGGGGGGTGTGGGTTGCTGGGGCTTCTCTCAGTGGCCCCCACTTCCATTCCTCAGGTGGTGTGTGGCTCCAAGTACATGGTGAGGGGCGAGAGTTCCCGGGACCATGTGGACCTGCTGATGTCGTCCCGCTACTGGCCGCCGGTGTACGTGACGGACTCTGCCCGCCAGGTGGCGCTCTGCACTGACGTCCAGTACCCAGAGCTGGCCTCCCAGATGTGGGGTAGGAATCAAGGCTGCTTCTGTGATCCACTGGGTGACCCAGAGGTATGTGGAGTACAGCATTATCAGTGTTTGGTTTGTGTGAGGGTGTGTGTAACCTACAGTGGACTAGCCTGTGGTCCAGGGGGTACTGCAGCCCTGTGCCCTCTGCTGCCGGGGTTAGGTTCCAGGCCCCAGTGAGCCTTTACTGGATAAGTGGATAGATAGATGGATCTAACCCCTGCATACTACAATGGACCTTTTTCTATGTGGTCCAGGCCCTCCCTCGACAAGTATTCCAAATATTACACAAGTGATTTACACACAGTTAAGCTCCAAAATTGCATCTGTAAGACCTGAAACAGATAGGCCCCTTCTTATCTTCTGTTAGCTATCTGGTCGATGTCAGGCACGTATAATCAGAGGTCATACATAACGATTAGGAACTCGGCCCCTCTGGTATGCATTCAGGACACGACCGGAGGCCTTTATTTTGGTGCCTTGGACTGTTGGCGGGTTTAACCAAAGTGGGCCCGGGGGAGGGGGGGGCAAAAATAAGAGAAGGCCGTTTTATTGTCAGTAAGGTGAGAAACAGAAGGGCAGTCGACGTTGGGTTCTAGGGTCTGTGGGCATTCGATGAAAAATAAGAGAAATATGGCTCAGATTTTGGAGCATTCAGGGGTAAGTAGGGGTGAGTTGAAGGGCCAAGCTTGTCACCTGATTCTGGGGGTCCAGACTCGCGGTAACTTGCTTAGATCGCGGTAAACTGCCTTGACCACAGTGCCGCCGCTTTGCCCCTGCAGTATGTGTCCTGCGCCGAGCTCCAGGACCAGCATTACGGCCTGGACCTGCCAGGGGTGGAGTCATCCCAGGTGCACCCTGTCACCAGATCCCCGTCCCGCTGGGTCGTGCATCCCGGGCAGGTGGGGGCGGAGTCTCCCGTGCCGCGCCACTACTTCATGGAGCTCTGCCAGGAGCTGGAGCCTTACAGTAGCCTGGTGGCTTCGCTGCAGGAGGCGGGGCCTGAGGGGGGCAGCGTGCGGAACAAACCCCTGGCTTTCGACAACGCCGCCTACTACTACCTTTACAACCGGCTGATCGACTTCCTCACCAGCAAGGACATTGTCAACCAGCAGATCAACGAGGTGCTGCAAGGCTGCCAGCCTGGGGAAGTGGTCATCCGGGACGCCCTGTACCGCTTGGGTGTGGCTCAAATCAACACGGAGGCGGAACCGGGGGTGGAGCTGGAGGAGGAGACTGGCCTGCCATAGGGCAAGGAAGGACACCCCAAATATCTGTTCTCCAATCAGAAAATACTGTCTGCAAGTCTTGAAGCCCCTTGAAGTCCCTGCTTGCTCTTTTACCGTGACAACAAGAATATGTGCTTTTGAGCTGTTTCTTCAGACCAGACTGGGGCTGTTGTGGTGATGGAGCTGGCTGACTAGCTAATGCTCCGATGGCGGTGCATTTGAGGGGGCGGGGCTCAGGGTCACCCCTCTAAGTTGACAGGATGGTACAGTCCTGGGCCCTGGTTAAATTATCTCACAACCAAAGATGAATTCTGGAATTTCAGCCTCTCCTCACGGTGATATAAAGCATATTTATATCTGCTGTGGAGGTGTGTAGGGTTATGTATCTTTATAGACACTCCCCTCGAACCATTTCAGCCGGTATCAAGCCTGGTCACTCCCTGCTCCTCATTGGCTATCCTGAAGGGTCATTGTATATCAACTTACATTATTTATTACAGTGTTTTCTGTTATTTCCAAATGTGTTTCTATTACTTTTGTGTCTGTTTATTAGGGGTTCAGGCAATCAGCGTTAGCTGCTAGATCCCGATTGTTTTCGCAAAGATACTTATTTTTATCACTATTTCAACTGAAATTATAAAATGATCAGTATTCTTGCATTTATTTTCTTAGTTTTCTTAGCCATTTTTTTCCACACCTTACATGAATGAGCTGTTTTTAAAAAAAGTTACTCTTCAGCGGATCTAGAATAGCTGTAACCCTGGGGTATGGGGCTGGGGGGTGGGGGGGGGGCGGCAGTTATTGCTGCTTGTCAGATGAGGGGGAAATGATCCGCTGAACTGAAAACTCAGGTTGGTACCTGAAAATGTATACTTTTTTCTGATGGGTAAGATTTGACAGGTTTTTGGATTTAATCGCATTCTGCGAGTGTGCGTGTGTCTCTTTGGGCAGAGTTTTTTTCCCTTCATATTAACAATCACTGTATGAATGAGTGCTGTTGGTTGCTATCTGTCCTATTAGCCCTGGCTGCTGAACCACATTAAGCCACATAATTATTATATATGATATGAGATGCACAGACCGATGCCCTCTCTCCCTCCCCCCTGACCCACTCCCTACTGCTCTCTCCTTTCTCCCGTCGCATCCAGGCTACGGCCGGTGTACACGATGCCCAGCCTCCTCTACCTGTCAGAAGAGGGAGATGTGCTCCCGCCTTCTGTGAAGGCATGCGGAAATGTTTTATAGTGGTCTGCTGTTATGGCATAGTGACCAGGTCCACTGTAAACACTCCTGTAGAAAATAAAGCTGTGTTTGGCCTTCAGAGCCTTGCAGTGCTATTTCAGGCTTTGCTATATTTTCACGGTGGTGTACAGGCTTACAGTCTCCATTTTGTCAAATTTGGGGATTTAATAAATGTGCCGCTTTATTATCTTCCAAGATGCCAGATGGCCAATTAGCCAACTTCTTTGTTAGAATACCTCAGAAGTCCAGCTGACCAGCATTCCCAGAAAATATGTTTGAAATTTGTCATAAAGAGGACCATCCACACGTGACCCTTCGTCCATAAGGTACAAAAAATCTTTTGCGTTGGCAAGAACTACTGTCTGCTCTCACTATGGTATGGTAAGTATTTTTTTTGCCATGGGTATACCTGACAAAACAAGAATCATCATCTAGTTCGCTAGATGTTTACAGGGATGAATGTTATGTCATTCTTGTTCGTTCAGCTGTCATCGGTATATAATACACACCTCAATATTGTCCTTATATATCATATATAATAATATACACACCAATGAGCCAAAACATTATGACCACCCCCATGTTCAAGATATATTAAATGGGAAGCTAATATTCGGTAGTTGTTGTTGACATGTTGAATGCAGAAGATATTGACATGGAAAAAGATCTGAGTGACTTTGGCAAGGCAAGGGCCAAATCATTATGGTCAGATGATTGTGTCTGGGCACCTGAGAGACAGTTGGGCTCACTGTCAGCCGTGGTGAGAGCCTACTGAGAGGTCTGAGGAGGGAAAATCCACAAAGTCGACAGGATGATGCGCAGCCAGGACAATGCCGGATGTGAACGAAGGTTATCCCATCTTTTACAAACCAACAGAAGGGTTACTGTGGCACAAGTGGCAGATAAATTTGATTATGAACCTGGGAGTAATGTGTCGTGAGCCCTGGGGCAGATGGGGCAACACTGCAGTCTTGCCCCTTGGTTGTGGGTTTGAGTCCTACCCCTGGTCAGTATCCCCTGCCTTCTGCCCTGTGTATCCAGCAATAGCCGTTGAACTCCCTGTGACCCCAAGAACACAGAATTTGTTTGTGATATCTATGGTACGTAAATATACTAATGCAGCAAAAATCTGAAACAAAACTTCCAATATACATAATGTAGAAACTATTCAAGACGTTAATACTAAACCTGCCACGTCCAAGTTAGTTGTGTCAAATCTTGTGTGTGCGCAATGTGAATTTTTTTTTGTGTAATGTTTTCTCTGTAATATAATGTCAACATTGCATCAACAAACCGTTTTAGTACCGAGTGGTATAGTTTAATATCCACAATCCTTTGTTCTATTTTCTTTTCTGTTTTTATTGACCTTAGATTTGTGCAGTCACGTGTTTATGTACTGGGTAGAAAATTAGTCATAGAAACATAAATAAATATTAATTTCAACATTTACCATTAAAACTAAAACATACTGTTATTAGGTACAAGTTAAAGTTTTTTTTTTACAATATCTTTCAGTCTTCAAGTAGTAAAAAACATACAAATATCCATGTAAAAGAATTTCATGGAATAGTCGCATTGCTGTTTGACTAAAAGTTAAAATGATAGAGTACTTTAAGTAAATGAAACACTGGCAAATCTGTCATTATTCATTTGTACCATATTAAACATGACAGTAGCAGTCATTAAGCCCGCCCCCTTTCTAATACTGTCTGGATGTGTTTTCCAAAGGTAGCACGCCCGCTTTGAAGGCAGGTGCTGGTTATCTTGTGTGTTTGTGTTGCATTTTTTTAGATTTTTTAACTCCATTACACTGGTCCAGTGAGTTTATGTTTGCCCAGGGAAGACATGCTGAACTTCTGCTTTCCATCATCACGGTATGACGTTGTTGTTTTTTGCCCTTGTTGGCAGCTGACAGAGTAAAGGAAGGAATTTGGTTAGTCATAGAACACATTTACTGGCATAAAGTAATGCTGAGTTCCACAGAACAGCGGTTTAGAATCGATTTTGCATAAGCTTGTTTACTTTTTTTGGGTTAGGTTCTCTTGCAGGATGTCTTGGAACGCATGCTAAGGAAATTGCTTTATTCCCCGAGGATCGGCCTCAGGTTGAGGTTTACGTGGGTTAAGGATCAACGTGGCTGCGGCTTGGCACTGACCTGCAGTTTTCTGGTCTGAAGGTCATTCCCTTCAAGCGGCAGATGCGTGGGCTGTTCCTGCACTGGCAGTGGCACTCTTCTGGGACGGGTGAGTAGCCTAGGGTGCAGTTAGCCTGACAAACGCAGCTGCACGTCTCCCGGTTCCAGTGCTGGTTTGGGGGACATGGCTCAGTCGGGGCAGGTGCCCTGCAGACACATTTGCAGGATTCCTCGTTGAGCATGCGACGCGGTCCGCAGCTGGCCTGCGTCAACCCGTTCCGGCACTCGCACTCGCATTGTCTGTTCAGAGTCCGGTTTGGGCCACAGAGGGCCAGCAGAGCTGTGTCCAGGGGTGCTTGGGGTACAGAAGACTTAATTATTGCAATAATTACATGTAGTAATTATAATTATATGATAAGTGCAATTGTGTGTTGTAGGTTGCAATTGTAATTTCAAAAGCTGTTGATTGCAAAAGCATTTAGCATGAAATTTTACAGGGTTCATACCTTCAAACAGTTTTGTGACATGGCATGTATATTAAGATCTGGCTTACCTATGTCCCTGGCAGAGAGGGGACTCAAGGGCATGCATTTGCACTCGGTGGGGTTCCACACCAGCCCAAGAGTGCAGGGAACATCTGGAGGGGAACATCTGGACATGGGAGAGAATGCGTGCAGGCTGAGATGTGGTACAGGCAACATTTCCTTCCATCTTGGTTCTTCATTTATTATTGTGGACTATGGGGGAAAGTTGTAAGGACCTCGACATTCAACTAGTGATTAGGTTAAGAAACTATGGCACCCCCACCCCCCATTTTAGATTAATACAAATGATCTGTGATGGATGGGAAACTAATAACGACACTTTGAGAAATGATTTTTGTAACACTTTCTATGGATGCCGTGTCTATAAGAATCTGTGAAGATATTGAAAATAAATGATAATGCCTTCATAAAGCACTATAAACATGGCTAAAAATATTTATAGAAAGGCATTATTAGCCATTAAAGTCATGTTTATTCTACATTATGAATGCTTTATGAAACTCTGATCTATAATGCACTATTGATACTTTCATAATGCAGTACACAGCATCCTTAATGCTTATCCTTAATGCATTATGAAGGTATCTATAGTGCATTATAGATCAGAGCTTCATTGGTGCCTATGAAGTATTATAACCACCACTATAATGCCTTGTGACTGTCAGTAGAAGACGGTATAATGCTTTATGAATCTTGAAGGTCAGTAGGGCACGATAAATGACAGCTTTAAGTGTTACCATGATTTTTTTGTTTCATTGCCCCCACCGGCCCTGCACACAACCTGGCAGCTCCAAGGTTAACATAAATGGTACTTGATCTACCCGTTCCTGCAAACAGCGCCTTACTCACCGGGAGAGCAGGCTGTTGGCTGTGGCCCTTCTGCTGATGACGTGTAGGGGGCTCTTTGGCTGACACTCGCAGGAGGTGTGGTTGACGAATGTTGTTTTGATGATTGATTTGCCGTTCTGCACCGGGACCAACTCCACCACCTGAGTGACAGTGGGGGGGGGGGGGGGGCACCATTACACATGTTCCCGCTCCTACAGTTGGGCCAGGAAACAGGCTAGTTACAAATTCTTACTGTCTTCTGCACCAGGGTGTAGCTGGTGTTGGTGCACTCCTGGCCCTCGTTGTAACAACAGCCCCCGCAGCGATGTACGGAGACACAGCGTGGCACGAAGAAGTGACTGGTGCTCTCCACATACTCCTTTGCCACCTCCACGCACACCTCACGCGGCTGGCAGGCAGTGAGCTGCATCTCCTTGACGATCACTGGCAACCAAGAGCAGAGTGACGGGTAGAGACAGCGGACAGCATTCTCCACCACCCAGCGAGGGTCAGTTCTTGTACCTTTTGCCGAAAGCACTTAATTTGCTCCAGCCAACATATTAAATTGGGTTAAAAACATAATAAAAAAAAATTTTTACTGTAATTATTACACGATGGGAATAATCACTGCTTAGTTTGTTGTTTTCTAGTATGAGTTTTCCACTCATGGTGTGATTCAAAGAGCAGCTGAACAATGCAAAATAGTAATTTTAACGTAATGTAGTTGTTAATGAAAAGAGGAGATATCTGCTACTGCAATTGGAAATACATGTACACATATTTTTATATGTACATATACACGCATATTAATATATATATATATCTATTTATATATTTTATACATATATATATATGTATGTATGTATATGTTGATATATATATATATATATATATATATGAACGGCCATAATAATTTCTTTACATGTTTTGGACCCCTTCCCTTGATTAAAAAAGACATTCTGCAGTCATTCATTGAAAAGATACTTGGCAACCAGAGAGTGTGGGAGTGGGTGACCAATGGTCATGCAGGACGATATTTTATCTCTACTGCCGTATTTCTGCTCCGGG